GTTAAAAAAAAAAAAATCAAACAGCCAGCCTAAAAAAAAAAAAAAAAAAAAAAAAGAGCATGGTGTCCAGACAGCATCAAAACTACTTTAAACACATTACAGATAGGCATACAACATCATCAGATATCTGAGATGCATTTCAAAAATACTCTAGCCCCAAGACTGGAAGGCTAATACTGACCCAGAAGGTAACAGCTTATTGTTTTTGACTTTTGCGAGCATTAATTTTTAATCATGATGCTGTCTGCTAAACAAAGTAATTGTTTCTCAGAATTATGTTCTAATCCCCAGATGAAATCTGCTTCCTTTTGTCCAACCTGTGCACGTAAAGGGACTGGAGTATGGCCCGACTGAATTTCATATGTACTCTATAGAAGATTTGATCTTTTCACAAAGCAAATTGTGTCAAAATTTTAAAGAGATTCCTATTGTAAAGGGAAGAACAATTTCTTTGTCTCCCGGTGCTGGCATACTTGGCCATCCAATATAGACAACTGTGATTTTTCATACTTGCATTCATTATTGTACTAATTTTACTGGCTAATTTTACTTTAGCACTGGCTAAATTTCCCTCTGACTTTTTAACTTCAACAGCTCTTTCTCAATGCCTGCAAGGATCGGGAGGTTTGCAAGGCTCAGCTACGCTACACATCGTCCAGCTCCCTTAACAACACCTTCTGCTGCATTTCATATTGCCAAATTAATCAAACTTCAGGCACTCTCCTTATTCAGCCAATGACATGATGCCGTTTTCTATCTAATAATCCAATCAGCTGAACATCATTTTCACAGAGCAGGAAAGACTTTGAAAGATTAAATCTCTCACATAGAAAAATCATTGCCTTAAACAAAAATTAAAAAATAAAAAGTCTGTATGTGATGTATCAGGGTGATTACTGCAGTAGGAAAATTAACAATATTAAAATAGTGAAATACAGTGGTAATAAAATATATGGATATTTTTTTTTTTTGTCCCCGATTTTAAAGCAGCATACAGTCTTTGGGAAGATTTTTAAGTCTAATTGGCTGAAAAGAACGACATCAACTGACAAGTATAATTAATAGAAAATACCAAAACATTATTTTGATCAGCATGAGGCTCTTCCTTTCTCTGTACTGAGTGTTTGATGCACTGTTTAGCATATAATTAATTTCATTTCCAAATGTGAACTTTGCAGTATACAGTGTACTTTTTCTCCTCTCTTTTTAGACCCATTTATCTTGCAAAATAGATTCCATCCCCTCAGATCAGGGAGCTCCCAGTAGGCTTCCCGTGTCTTCAGGAATTAATGCCTTCTTGTCATATTTGGTGCTCCCATGTTTTTTATACAACAAGGCAAGAGGGAAAGGTGACTCTCACACAGGGATATTTCAGGTATTCAGGCTATTTAAACTGAACTTTAAAAATCCTAGCCAAACAGTGAAGCAACAGCAAAGCAAAGCCAAACTTCTACAGCCTGCTGAACGCTCCTGTGTCTTTCGTCGGGCATCATATTCTTAACCACATGGACAGCAGACTGACTTAACCCACTCAGACTTTATTACTTGCTCTCTGCCCCCCCCTTTTTTTTATAAAAACCTTTTTCAAACTACACTAATTCAAACTACCTTTGCTCAAAGCCCAGTATCTCTCAGAAACATTTCTTCATGCACTTGTTTGTCAGCAAACTGCTGTCACATACACACTTTTACACACAAATCATCTTATCAGTAGTAAGAAACACAGCAGTGAGTATTCCTCTACTTATTATCTGATGAGTTCCAGATCTGCTTTCTGAATCTTAAATCCTAAAGAAGCTCCTTACCTGAGTAATCCAACCAAGAGCAGAGCACTCTATTAGTGTTCATTGGAAAGATCTAACACTTTTTTAAATCCATCTGTATCACAATAAGGGATTTTTAATAGCTTCCCAATAATCTTCTTTATCAGGATTAGAAGAAAAAAAAAATCTCTTTTGTTACAAATCCTGTTCCCAGAGTAAAGAAGACATCTGAGCTCTCAGACTCTGCCGTCAGAAAAGTGGCCAAGGTTTGAGGGGTGGAAACCTTCTCATTTTCACCTTTAAATCATCTCCTAGCATCACCTTCTGCTTGATGAGACCTTTGAAGTGATCTTGAGATAATTTGCAGCTTCCAGGATACTTAAGGATGAGGAGCAGTTTATGTTTAACGACAGAGCAGCCTCACTCCAGCGCAGGCAGTGCAGAGTAAGGCAGCTGTACGTACACCGCTATACGATGCCGTAAGTACCGTAGCCTATTTCAATACATCCCTGCTCGGGAAAGTATCACATGCCTTAAAGTGACACAGCCCTCAGCTGCAAGCCCCAGCCAGGCACTCCACTAGCAGCTGGGGCTTAGCAACTGGAGCTGCATTTAAATACCGGCACTCAGACTTTTGCACAGAGCAGAAGAGCAGCTGGTTTCGTCCGCGAGGAGCAGGTATGAATGGGCAGAGGAGGGTGGAAGAGTGCTGGTGGAAAGGCAGAGCCGATGGAGAGGCGAAGGGCTAAACACCCAATGAGCAATCTGGGAGACGCGTTAATTCTGCCGGCAGAGGCTTTATTCCCCAGGCGTTGTTCTTGCACTCATTCACAAGAGGCAAGTGAGACTTAAGGGAGTCTCTTCCATTTCACAGGAGAGCAGCACATGCTTGTGAACGGGAGGGGTGGTGCAGGGAAAGTGTAACAAAAAACATGGGAAAAATCAGGGGAGGGCAGGAGACTCCTACACACGCCCATGGGCTTTCCAACACCTTGCCACAACTCTGAGTGAAATCTTTCCTTCCAACTCCATTTCCGATGCATCTCGGCAGACAATAGGGAAAGAGCTCTGATTTATTCCTCCTAAATGCTAAAGCTCAGATACTCCAGATTATTTATTACAGTTATTTATTTATTGTCCACATCTTAAGTGGCCATTTACAGGAATGGAGTCATTTCCTCTCCCTTTTGTACCATATGTGATTATTTTTTAAAGAGCCATTGTACAGACTTAATATATACCATTCACTTAGCATTACGGCTCTCACGTCTGCCTACAAAAGAGAGAAGGCTTGGAGACAAAACAGAAACTTCCATTTTAAGAGCCCAGGGTGCATGCTATAACACAACGTGGGATTTTTTTCTTTCCCTTGATAACCTGCGGTAGAAGAGTGTACTACCTTCACTGCTTACCAGCTCCAGACACAAACCAATAGTAAATAATAACGGTAATAAGTACCCTTACGCTCAAGCATCTCCTTCTCAGCACCCAAGGACATATATCTCAGTGGAGACTCTCACTGAGAGGTGCAATGAGCTTACTTGACAGACCACACACTCCTTTGGAGCTGCTGTATTTTATCGGGTAATGCATATTAAGAGATTGGCCCTGCAGACTAACAGGAACATTACGCTGGTCTCTGCCACAGTGCTCAGAGCAGCTCTTTATTACAACCTGGAAACAATAAAGCAATCAGGGGGGTGTGACAAAGTGACACAGGAGAACACTGGCGAGTGGACTCTCCCCACACCACGGGCCACCACTGCAGCATGGCTCCCATCAGGTCCCTGAGCAGTGCTGGGGAGGAGACGGTGGCTCAGGACAAGCCTTGTGGTGACCAGAGATGCTTTCAAGAGGTCAGCATTTTTTTCAGGGTGCTTTGCATGGAAACACATGGCACAAGTATGGTTGGGGATATAATGTTCCGTTTAATAAAGGTTTTCTTGTTCTCCCCAAGAATTTCCTTAGACGCTGGAAGAAGGCCAAGAACTGGGACAGTTGCTGCTACTTTCTCGGAAGGGCCTAAAAGCATCCAAGAAAGCTGATGAGAAGCAACCAAGGCACACCAAGTAATATTAAGTGCTGATGGGCAAGGAACCAGGACCTGGGATCAGGTGCGGCCGACAGCAGAAGGTGGTGGGTGGCAGGCAGGCTGCTGTGGTTTGCTGCCAAAGCCACAGGGAAGCTCGAGACCTTCCCTCTTTCCATGGGAATATGGGGAGCTTTCTGTAGCATCTGAGAGCAGCAGGTGATGGGAATTTATTTTAAAATAACACCTGTTTAACAAGAAGTGTTCCCTCTAGGGCTCATGGGGAAGCTACAAGGGAAAGGGTATGGACTGGGGAGGTTTGAAGCAAGAGGAGGGAGAAGGGCCTCAAGAAGCAAATAAAATCTTCTAGGAAACTGAAAGGCCTTGTGGACAGCAGGAGGAATCAGACAAATTGTGACCACACACCTTGGCAGAGTAG